AGAGTACTTCAAGTCCTGTGCAAAAACGCATGATCGCACGGGCCCGTCCAGTGCGTTCCAGCCTGGTTGCATATTGTTCAAATGCAAAAACGCATATTGTGACGTGTGTGTGTGTGTATGTATGTATGTATGTGTGTATATGTATGTGTGCGGGTATTTCAATTTGGCAACCATGCAAGCTTCGATGCTGAACTTTAGTTAGTGGGTTCCCTGGCCAAGCGCCATCTCAGGAACGCGGTACCGACCTTCATACACGTCTGAACCATGCATAGAGCCAGTTGAAAGTCTTGGCGGGAAAGTTGCTAACTTAAATTGCTAACTCAACCACAAAAGCTGGAAGGCTGAAATTTTAAGCGGTTTTCCCCACCATATGTGCAACTTAAAGATTTCATATTCAACCTCCCAGTATGTTTGTTCTCCCACATGGGCATGTAAAAATTTTGGAAGAAAAATCGCTCGCTAAGCAGCTTGATCATTCTTAATGAATGATCATTCAGTGGGAATTGTTTATTTTTCTTCTTGCAAAATTTATGATGATTTACACTAGTGAGCACAGAAACTAAATGTAAAGCAATAACATTCGTACATTTACCGACCCGACTGTTTCAAGTCTAGTGCAGAAAACGCATAATCGTACCGGCGAACCCGGTACGCTCTATTCTACATTCATCCTTTATTTCAGCAATTACTAAAACACGACTCGGTTCGGCCGAGCTGAGAGGCGAACTGGAATGAATGGAGAGCGGTAGTAAGGGGTGGAGGTGGGAGGGAAGGGTCGGCTGCGCACTTTTTCCTCAAGGCCGTCATAATCATCAGTTAAAAAACACCTTTGTGTTCCTGGAGAAAAAATAAATTGTTGGGAAAAAAAATAAAAGCACTGACAAAACGCTTTTGCATGGATAAAGGTGGGTTTTATGATGTAGCGGTGAATCATTTTGTTGTTTGGTACCAAACTGAAGTTTTATATCCCTGTTTATTTCATAAATATTACTGAAACGTATAAAATTAGAAAAATGGAATAAAAATGAACAAATCAGAAAAGAGGAAAAAAGGAAGGCATCAAATGTACACTGTAAAGCTCAGTGTGTAATTACAAATAAAACAATGATTCGGCACTGATAAGTTTTCAGCAATAACACAAACACAGGATGGCTCTTCTAGAAAGTACCTTCGTGGGAATTCAACACTTAGCTGACACAGTGGCGGAAAAAGAGGAGTGAAAAAAACCTGCGCACATACTAATTACGCAGTATTGTTAAATTCATACTTTCCGGATTTCTTATATTTTGCATTTCCAAGTCAACCTTTTGGCTTCTGATCCCGCGCACCGGAACTCTAATCGGATTAACACCTGATACACCGTACCAAGTCAAACCTGCCATCAGTTTGCTTTTAAACAACCCTTCAAACAGGAAGCGGTCGATAACCTTGCCAACGGATGGTTGCTGCTGGCAATTGCGCTCCTTAATGCATCTGCATCTCAAAGGGAGCAAATATGGAAGCAATTCTGCCTTTTGACTTTGAGCGAAAAATGAGAAGTTAATGCATTAAAAAATTTCACCGGAAAAAAATGAATGCGCTTAAACAGAGGTTAGGATCACCAACAGGCTAACCAGTTAGTAATAATGTGATCTCAGTCAAAATCAACTCTGAAAATTTGCCAAATGCACTGGTAGCAAAAAGACACGCAGCATTATAACGATAGCTGACCAAAGTACAACATAGTAATCCCGGACTCGTACAGTTTTTTCGGTGAGCAGAACTATATAGGAATATTTCAAACTGAGGTTTTTAAGGAACAAGTAGGAAGTGGAATTCTGCTGAATGAGCATCTCTCTCTCTTTCTTTATGGCCTGTTTCCTTTGTTAATGGAAGCCAGTTCCCTGAGATGTTTCAGCGTCAATTCCTCCTCCTCAGTAAGTGGTTGATTTGACTCTTTCTTCGCTTCCAGCTTATGCTCCAAATCGAGTCTCATCTTCTTCACCTGCTCTCTTTCCTGAAATCACAGCAAATTTCCACCGCTTAAAAAAATTTCATTCATTTTTTTTAAAGAGCTATATTTTTCTTCTGCAAAGAATTTAATTCGGTTTCCCATCTTTATTTAAATTTTGTCGTGGCTGTTTCCGACTTTTTCATGCAACATATTTTTGAAAATAATGATTGATTTTACGAAACTCACTAGCTTGTAGAAATACTCTTCTTCACGAGCAGCTTCCATTCTTCCAAACGCGCCGCCTGCTTCACGGATCGTTCCACCGCCA